AAACAACTTTTATCCCGAAATTGAGGGGCATGTGTTAACACTTGGATTTTGGTCGATTCGGAAGATGATGGTAGACCCACATGCGGGAAGAAGGGTATTCGGCAAACAAAGCAAGCGGTCGACTAAATGCATTGCGATCGGTTACTCGTATAGCGGTGATTCCATTCGGAAAAAATAGAAGATGGCGAGCAAGGCCAATCGAAAAGGTGAAAGTTGTAATAGTAAAGGACTCTAAAAGTTTAGGGTAAGGAATCGTGAGTTTCTAAGTTTATTTAAAGGTTCCTTTGTAAATCGTAGTCCTCTAGGACTCGTGTTTTGTCTAGGGTATAAATATTGACCCTCGACCATTGTAATAGGGGTTCACAACAAAATCAATACAACCGCCCCGTGCCAACTTTCGAGTCCTTTTGTCGGTCGTCGAGTTCTTGAGAGGAGTCATCGATCCGTCGACCTCCGTAAGTTCCGACAACCTTGTTATCATGTTTAGTATCATGCGGTGGATTTAGGCGTGATGCAAGTAGTCTTGTTTGTTTTCAATGGTCGTGCGACGGATCTTTGTTTGACAATCAAGAAGTCTTTGTTTATGCTTTGTTTATGAGTAGATACCGTGCGTGTTGGCGTTTGCTCAATATGCTTAGTGAAAGCAAGATAGTTATCGGCTCTTTTAGATATGGCAAATCTAAATAGATTCATTAAGTTATCCGGTGTTGCATGTTACGGAACATTTTATATATATTTGTAACATACTTACGCCCAATCTAGATTGATATTGTTCGGCCTTTTTTTCTCTCTTGTGGTTTTATTAGGTGCTTCAACGATCATTGCTTTTCATAATACCTTTGCAACCAGATAGTGTGCATATAATGGCTGAATTATTTTAATCTAGATTGTCACATGTCGTGGGTTCATGCATGTTAATCATGTTTAAGCTTTAATAAAACCCGGGTGTCGATGCGGCGGATCACGAGGTTTTAGATTAGTTTAATCGTTTTTTTATTTGCACGTTCCTTCTTCATGGACCCCAATTAATTTGAGCGCCGAGCTTGGTTATGCATTAACTCATAATTAATTTCACTTGTTCAAACATGTCTTCCCATGCACGTATATTCGCAATCAGGTCTCCACGTGCATTCATCTTACTATTAGTGAGCGGTTTATGAACTCATTGGCGACTGACTCTCTCTATAGTATGTATGTCGTTGTAAGTGGCTTCAGGGCCGTATATGTGGAAGCTATCTGGTATTACCCGACATGTTCCGGTTTGACATTTAATTGTTTTGTCCTTTGTTAGTTTTTTTCAGGTCAAACTGACTGGCACGCTTCCGGATAACGAAGCACCCGGGAACCCGATTGAAGCTACGCTTTTCGGCTTGCTGTGTGTGAGGCACAGTGCGTCACATTTTGTGTCAACAATGAGGTTAGTTTCCATGCTTCGCTCCTATCCGAGACGGAATTTCGGCAGCACCTCCCCGCCGTTCTCCCGATACACGTCCTGCAAGGGAGAGTGTGTATCCAGAGAACAATGGAGAGGTGATGCCGAAACACCGTCTCGAACCAGAGCGAAGCATGAAAACTAACATCAACTACGCATCCGCGGGCTGTCTAAAAAGCATGGACAATCTGAAATAGATATGGTCGTAGATATGCAAAGGTTCGCATATCTCCGACCATATCTCTTTCAAACGGGAGACACCTAACTAGGTTACACGACCAAAGACCACATACGGATAGAGGGGTTATACCTAGGGTGGCGGTGAGGTCCGGGTAGCAGGGCGGTGGAGAGTCGGTGCAGTGGCGAGTCGACGCGGTGCAGGAAGACCCGCAGCGCCGACAAAGACGATCGGGGTCGCCGAGTCCCTCCCATAGGTCCTCCTCCTGCAAAAAAGGGCAAAAATGGTTAGTGTCGACTCAAAATTTCGGCAGCACCTCCCCTGCACGGAGAGGTTCCCAAAACCTGCAAAAAACATGGCACGAAGGCCAACAACCACATATATACCAAACATGGCACGAAGGCCAACAACCACATATATACCAAACATGGACACGAAGGCCAACAACCACCAATATATCAAGAGGAGCCATGTACTTTAGTTCTCTTTCCATGCACATGAAAGTATTGAAGTAGTACAACAACAATTACTACTAACCCTACAACTACTACTAACACTACTACTAACAACTACTTAACTACTAACAATGCTAATAGTAAGAACTACTTAACTATTAACAACTACTACTACTAACCACTACTACTTACTAACTACTACTATTTACTAACCCTACAACTAACACTACTAACTACTACAACTAACACTACAACTAAAACTACTAACTACTACTACTAACACTACAACTAACTACTACTAACACTACTAACTACTACTACTACTAACACTACAAGGTAGGGCTTACCTTGGCGGCAAGAACGGCAAGAGCGAGGGTCGCGACGACGGGCGGGGATGACCCTTGCAGTGCCATGAGGATCAACGGCCGGTCGGGGCTGCCTTGAGGATCGGCAGGCGGTCGGGTCGGCACCTTCCTCTTCTTCCTCCTCCCCCCTCTTTCTTCCTCTTCTTTCTCCTCCCTTCTCTTTTTCCTCTTCCTCCTCCCCTTCTTTTCTTCTTCTTCCTTCCTCCTCCCTTCTTCCACCTACCTACCTCTCTCTGGCTGGTGGCGGAGGAGGAGCCCGCTGGCGACCACAGGCGGGCCTCGTCGAGACGGCCCGGCGAGTGGGGCAGCGTCATGCCCTTGTGACCTGTGAGGCTAGAAGCCGCGAGGTTAGGGCGCGTCGGCCGGCCAGAGCAGGGCCAGAGCCGCCGAGGTCGTCAGGCGGGCCGTGGTTGTGCGGGCGGATCGAGCTGGGCCGGATTCAAAGTGAGAGCTGCCGTTGCCGGGCGAAAGGCCAGCAAGGCATGGCTTCATATTGGGCTGGCGCCCGGTGCCGGCGGTGTGGGTCGCCAGGCTGGGGGAGGCATAGCAAGGCGTGGCGAGGAGGCGGAGAGGCGGCGCGCAGTGAGCGAGGGCGGCGGTGGGTGGAGCGTGTGGCGGGTCGGTCTCATTGGAATATGTTAGGGTTGGGACGGGCTGGACTTTTTAGTCATGGGCCTTTATGGGTGCTAGGTGACGATGACACCGACAAAAATTTTTTTTATTTTTTTAAATTTCTTTGCCGGGTGCCCCATGACACACGGCACCCAAAAGCTCTTCTTTGAGTGCCAGGTGGCACCAAGCAATTTTTTTTTTTTTTTTTTTTTGACCCCATTTTTTTGTGGGGACTTGCTGATAAATATATCCCTATTTCAAATTTTGGGACAATTATGAGTTTTTTAACTATATTTCCTTAATTTTTTTCGATTCATTGAATTTTTTAGACTATTCCAAATTTGAGCTGCGGTACATGAAATAATGGAATTTGGTCATTCAAAAATAGTATTCATGATATTTAGGCTATGTCGAGGGTCGTATGCGGGAAGTGGCATGAAATGTCGCGCATCATGTTGTCGTAACATGACGATGTACTTCATGAGGGAAGTTTATTTAAATTATATAAAATCCAAACGATGTCCGAAAATCACGAAACTTGTCGATACCAGGTGGAGATGTCTAGGTTTTAGGCAGCCGACGTCGCAACTTGCTCGAAACTTTCTCAATTTTTTACCAGGACCTCCACATGTGATAACAAGACACATCGACAAGTTTCGTTATTTTTGAACATCGTTTGGATTTTATATAATTTAAATAAACTTCCCCCGCGAGTACATCGTCATGTTACGACAACATGATGCGCGACATTTCATGCCACTTCCTGCATACGGTCTCGACATAGCCTAAATATTATGAATATTATTTTTTGAATGACCAAATTCCATTATTTCATGTACCTGCAGTTCAAATTTGGAATAGTCGGAAAAATTCAATGAATCGAAAAAAATTAAGGAAATATAGTTAAAAAACTCATAATTGTCCCAAATTTTGAAATAGGGATATATTTACTATAGCAAGTCCCCACAAAAAAATAGGGTCAAAAAAACAAAAAAATAATAATAATTTGTCGGGTGCCACCCAGGGCACTTTACCGGATGCCAGGTCATGGGGCACCCGGCAAAGAAATTTAAAAAAAAATAAAAAAATTCTTTGCCGGGTGCCTAACGGCGTGGCACCCAAGCAAGGTGACGACGTCCGCCGTCATCAAGCCAAGCCGCCACCTTGCTTCGTGGCCATATTTTGCCGAGTGGCCGGCACCCGGCAAAGACCAATTTTTGCCGACGGCTGGAATTTGCCGAGTGCCCGGCACGCGGCAAAGGTTGCTTTGCCAGAGGCCTTTCTTTGCCGGGTGCCGCCAGGCCTGGCACCCGGTAAAGAATTTCTTTGCCGGGTGCCCGATAGAAAGCACCCGGCAAATTTTTTTTTGCTCCTGGCAAATCAGCCGTTTCCTGTTGTGATCATCGTGTGGGTCACGCTCACGCGGATGCAAGTGCAACAAGCTGGCATGTGGCCACTTGATATTGACAAATGCAGCAGGCGGGTCCTAGCTTGTTTCCATGTCCACACTCGTACAGCTTTGTTCCTACTATGAAATTCCGTGGAAGATGAGCAGGAGCACCTCCATCCATGGCCACCACATGCATTCCAATCGTCCTACTACTAGCTCTATCAGCACCTGTAGCTTCATCATCTCCTATTCCGATCAACAGCAACGGCAACGGCAGCGACACTGACCTCGCCGCGCTGCTGGCTTTCAAAGCCCAGCTCTCCGACCCTCTCGGCATCCTCTCCGGCAACTGGACCACCGCCGTGTCCTTCTGCCACTGGGTCGGAGTCTCCTGCGGCGTTCGGCACAGGAACCGCGTCGCTGCCGTGCAGCTGCAGCATCTTCCCCTCCATGGCGCCGTCGCTCCCCAGCTCGGTAACCTCTTTTCCTCACCGTCCTCAACCTCACCAACACCAGCCTTACAGGAACACTCCCAGACGATCTGGGAAGGCTGCGTCGCCTCGAAGCCATGGACCTCACGTTCAATGGCCTATCAGGAAGCATCCCTCCCGCCATAGGTAACCTCACAAGCCTGGAGGTTCTTGCCCTAAAGTCCAACCACCTATCCGGTCCAATTCCGGCAGAGCTGCACAACCTTCAGACCCTGAACCGCATAAACCTCCAGAGAAATTTCCTAACCGGATCGATCCCAGACAATCTATTCAACAACACACCCTTGTTAACCTACCTAAACTTTGGCAACAACAGCTTGTCAGGATCGATACCATCTTGCATTGGCTCCTTGCCATCGCTCGAGTACCTCAACCTGCAGGTGAATCGCCTTGCCGGCGCGGTGCCTGCAGCCATCTTCAACATGTCCACTCTTCAGATTCTAGCGCTCACCTACAACCACGGATTAACCGGCCCGGTTCTTGGAAACGCAAGCTTCAGCCTCCCGATGCTGCAGGCGTTCTCCATCGGGTCCAACAGTTTCACCGGGCAGATTCCGTCGGGGCTCACGGCGTGCAGGTTCCTGGAACGTGTTGACATGACTGAAAATCTGCTCGAGGGCGTTCTGCCAACGTGGCTGGGAAGTTTAACGCGTCTCACCTTCCTTTCGTTGGGTGGGAACAGCTTTGCTGGCCCGATTCCTGCAGAGCTTGGCAATCTGACTATGTTAAGTAGCCTGGACCTCTCGGTCTGCAACCTGACGGGATCCATTCCTGTGGAGCTCGGACGCATGAGCCAGCTCTCGTTGCTGCTGCTCTCTGCCAATCAGCTAAGCGGATCCATCCCAGCTTCTCTTGGAAACCTGTCTGAATTCGGATACATGGCACTGGATATAAACCGGTTGGTTGGTACAATACCGCCAGCACTCTGTAACATGAACTCTCTGTTTTTTATCAGTGTTTCAGAAAACAGCCTGCAGGGGGATTTCAGCTTCCTGTCAGCTCTTTCCAACTGCCAGCAACTTTCTTACCTTGACATATCGATGAATCGTTTCGTCGGTAGCCTCACCGCAAACCACATGGGAAATTTGTCCAGTGACCTGCAGACATTCCGTGCAGTTGGAAACAAGATAGTTGGTGAGCTTCCAGCTGCAATCTCAAATCTAACTGGTCTCCTTAGGCTTGAACTTTCAGATACCCAGCTGCGCAGCGCAATTCCAGAGTCTATGGCTATGCTGCAGGGCCTCCAGTGGCTTGGTCTTCAAAGAAATAACATGTTCGGCCCCATCCCATCAAATCTTGCCATGCTGAAGAATATGGTAATACTATATCTTCGTAGCAACGAATTCTCCGGCTCCATACCAAGGGACATTGGTAACCTGACAGTGTTAGAAGATTTTAGTTTGGCTAATAATAGGTTATCCCGGACTATACCACCAAGTTTATTTCATATTGATAGCCTTATCCTTCTAGATCTTTCTCAAAACCTCTTGGAAGGTGAATTGCCAGTTGATATAGGCTATATGAAGCAAATTAATGTCATGGATCTCTCTGCAAACCTCTTGGTTGGTAGTCTCCCGGATTCAATCACACAACTGCAAATGATGGCCTACTTGAACCTATCACACAATTCCTTCTCCGGTTCAATCCCAATGTCTTTCATAAATCTAACCAGCTTGCAATTTCTGGACCTGTCATATAATGATCTTTCTGGTACAATACCAAATTATCTGGCCAACTTTTCCATCCTTACTAGCTTGAACCTGTCTTACAATGAGCTACAAGGTCAGATACCTGAAGGTGGTGTATTCTCAAACATCACCCTGCAATCCTTGATTGGGAACACAGGGCTTTGTGGTGCTCCACGTCTAGGATTTTCACAATGTCCAAGTCCAAGAGGCTCTAGAAGAAATAATGGTCACATGCTGAAAGTTCTCCTACCTACTACCATCATTGTAGTAACTGGAGTTGTAGCTTTCTGCATATATGTAATAGTTAGAAATAGAAATCAGAAGCAGCAAGGTATGACGACGGTTTCTGCCGGTTCGGTTGACATGATCAGTCATCAGTTGGTCTCCTACCATGAGCTTGTTCATGCCACCGATAATTTTAGTGAGAGCAACTTACTTGGATCTGGGAGCTTTGGAAAAGTTTACAAGGCTCAACTAAGGAGTGGTTTGATTGTTGCCATAAAAGTTCTAGACATGCAACAAGAGCAGGCCATAAGAAGCTTCGATGCCGAGTGCAGTGCGCTACGCATGGCGCGGCACCGCAACCTAATTAGGATACTCAATACATGCTCCAACCTGGACTTTAGGGCGCTAGTGCTTCCCTACATGCCGAATGGAAGTTTAGAGACGCTTCTGCACTGCTCTCAAGGGACAACACATCAGCTGGGATTCCTTGAGAGGCTAGGCGTCATGCTCGATGTGGCATTGGCAATGGAGTATCTGCACTATGAGCACTGCAATGTGGTCTTGCATTGTGATTTGAAGCCTAGCAATGTATTGTTCGATCAGGACATGACAGCACATGTGGCTGACTTCGGCATTGCAAGGTTGCTAGTAGGTGATGACAGCTCTACCATCTCTGTGAGCATGCCTGGAACTATTGGGTACATTGCACCAGGTATTGTCTACTTGCTCAGTCGATCAATCTACTTCTCATTGGACCATTGATTAACTTAGATTAGTTAATGTATCAATCATGGCTTGTTTTTCTTGTCTTTTTTTTTTCTTAACCAGAGTATGGGGCACAAGGAAAAGCATCACGGGAAAGTGACGTGTACAGCTTTGGAGTTATGCTCTTGGAAGTCTTCACTAGAAAGAGACCGACGGACGCTGCTTTTGCCGGAAATCTAACCCTGAGGCAGTGGGTTTTTGAGGCGTTTCCAACAGAGCTTGTCCGTGTTGTTGATGATCAGCTACTACCATGGTTGTCTAGCTGCAATCTGGAAGCCTTTCTTGTGCCGGTATTCGAGTTAGGTTTGCTGTGCTCCAGTGACTCACCGGACCAAAGGATGGCAATGAGTGATGTGGTCACGAGGCTGAAGAAGATCCTGGCAGAGTGCAACAAATCGGTAGCAGCTGCGCTCAAGACAGCAGCACAGTGATCATGCATGATTGATCAACATAGTATATTTATGTTTCTGTTCTGATTCTAATCTAAACTAATTAAGAAAAACATCAGCTGTAGCAACGTCTACTTTGCCACCTAGTTTTCGCCTGTGCGCGTAACTACTTCTGGACATGTCATCTTTCAATTTTTGCACCATATAAACTGAGGGTGAATTAATATGCTGCTTCGATTTGCAATATATTGAATTCAATTCCTAAAAGCTAGCTTGCAACAAAATGCAAGACGCCGATTAACAATGATGCTCCCAATGGAGACTTGATCCTAGAGTGTGTGTGTAGCTTGTTTACTTTGTACCTGTCAAGTAACCTGATGATGGACTTGTGAGAGTGAGACCCTTAAGTATTGTCAGAATTTAGCAAGTTATCGTCTCTAATAAAAAGTGCAGCCAAGGAGTACTCTCGGACCTCTTTATTTTAAAGAAAAAGTCCAAACTACTCCTCTTAAATTTGTTATATATCCAGATAACCCCCTAAACTAACATGCATGTTACAATTTACTCCCTCCAACTGTTTAAGTTGGTCCAATTCATAGCTTAAGAAGATTTTTCTATTTTGTTTCGCTATGCACAAATTCTGTTTTAGTTTCAAATTTTGTGAGGTGATAGAGGACATCATATTTTGTATTAAAAAATATATTATGATTTTTTTTCATCATTATATCTTGCATGATATTGCATCTCTAGTGTTATTATATTTCCTAAGCTTTCAAAATAGTGACAACAAATTAAGATATATTTTTCTAACATAACTTATGATGTCCTCTAGAAGAATTCATATTAAAACTCACCTGGAGAAACAAAAGTAACAAATCATGTTAAGAAGGAAACTAGACCAAACTAAAATAGTTGAAGAGGCGTAAATTGAACCAAATGTTAGTTTAGAGGGTTATCTGGACATAGGTCAAATATGGAGAGAGTAATTTGGACTTTTCATATTTGAAAATAATAAAATCCACTCCCCACCCACACCCCCAACCATAAATTCCAATAAGACAAAGACAAACATGAGCCGAGGAGGGTTATCAAACATGCTGTGAAATACATCATGGGCCTTAAACTATCTCCGCACTACTATTCATGCACCTCCAAGGTCAAGCGTTTCCACTACATAAACCACACTCAAGGCACTCTATGTTCCATGGTACCCTGTCATTCTAGGAAGCATCTAAGAAAAGGCCGAGGAAATAGAATATTTCCAAAGAACGCATATAATGCGCGACCAATCAAGCTATTGGTGAGTGCGCGACCCACTTTTCCACACACGCGATGCCCCAGCATGTGCCAACTAGCCCCCGCTACTCTGGCCGCCACTTTCCCTTTCCAACTTGTGGTCCAAGCCTCCAAGGCACAATGTGTAAATGTTGCTTTCTTTGTGATGTCAAGCTGACGTAAAAAAAAAAAAAACAAAATATTTACTTTAAATTGCTATAACTTTTGAATGGTGTATCCGTTTTTAATTTCGTCTACACCGGTGTGTTCTAGTGATGAGACGAACAAAACTTGATCACACTTGCATATGTTTCGAAGAATTTTATTCTAGTAGCAATTTATACGTATTATGTGTTAGGAGAGGAGATTTATCGAAGGAGTTATTACCATGTAATACTAAAGTTGCTACTAAAAAATACTAAAGTTGTAACATAGTATACACATAGATTGTTATCATGGGAATATAATAAAAAAATTTATATAGTATTTGCATAAAGGTACAGCCCTATATTCTTGGCTGGACTAGGATGGCACATGGAGTTGCATGCCCATGCAAAAACGTGACCCATAGTGAGATTAATTTTGTGCATGTGTATCGGTCCTATATAAACCCACGTGACAATCCATGAGTAAGTTACATGTAAAAGTCCACAGGCCATGTTACAAAAATCCAAAAGGCTACGGGCGGCAGGGGTCGCTCGCTCCACCACGAGCGCGACTGCGCGCATAGTAGCTTTTGTGTTACATAAAGGTACTAGCTCTATATTCTGTGCTGGGCTAGGCTGCCACATGGTGAAGTCACATGCCCATGCAAAAATGTGACCGAGATTAATTTTGTGCATGTGTATCAGTCTTATACAAGCCCACGTGATGATCCATAAATAAGTTATATGTAAAAGTCCACCCTGTCAAAAAAATCCAAAAGGCCACGGGGGTTGGGATCGCTCGCTCTACCACGAGTGCGCGCATAGTAGTTTTTGCGTTGTGCGTGTTGATGGAGGATGTCTCTGGAAGCAAAAATAACTTTTTTTTGTCTTTCGTGAGTTACTTGTTTTCATATTTGTTTCTTATGTGTGTGTGTGTGTGTTTTTTTTAGGGAAATCATATTCGTTTCTAAAGTGTTGGTCTTCTGAGAATAGAGCCCAACTTTAAAAGCCAATAATGTTAGCCTCTACAGTTTTTTTTTTTTTTTTTTGACAAATATTAGTCTCTACAGTTAAACAGAGAATGGTACTCATCGTGGGCCGACATTTCCTGTGGCCCAATCTCCATTGACGATGCACGCAGTCTCCACGCATCCAACAGAAACGCACAACCCTAGCAATCCAGCCCATTTAAGGGCCTGTTTGGATTAGGAACAAGTTCGCCACTGCTAAAATATTTAGGACTGCCGATAAAAAAAATTAGGACTGGGGTAGGATTAGGGCTGGTCAATTGGATCACAATCTATTACCAGGCCTGGCTTCACCTGCAACAGCCATTTCAGCAAGGCAATTATGGTTCTGGTCACGGGTCTGCTGCTCCTAATTCCAGACTACAGCGTGAAGTACCATCCCAATTCAGGCCTCTGTTCGCTTGTCTTATAATCCGTATTTTTAGTTTTTTTTTTTTAGTCGGAACAGTGTTCTTCTCTCATAATAAATCAGCCGGAATAGTATTTCAGTTTGTTTTTTCAGCGAAGCGAACGGGGCATACACATACACATGATACACCCATCCCAAATCTATGTGCTCTGGTTAAACTGAAGCCTCCAATAAGGCAGTTTGGCTCCTGTTAGTTCAGCATAGTTTCATTAAGGCTTCAACTTACATACACAGTCGGTCTACATGATGTAATGCAGCCTGACGAAAACTGAAGATGAAAAAAAAACAAAATTCGAAAAAGGTTAACAAATTTCATTCTTCCTCACTCAACCATTGAGCACAGGTGAGTCATGCACAAAGCAACACAAACTTTTATCGTTCAATGGCCAATTCAGTTTCTACCTACATTTGCAAGAGCCAACCTGTAAAGATGGACTGACCAGCTCCACAAAGCCGTGCCTGATTTTCTAGTAAATTTCTAATACTCTTAAGGCCTTGTTTGGATGCATGTGTATTCATTTCAATCCACATGTGTTGTAGTGAAAATGAAATGGAATTTAGTTTAATTCCACTCAAATCCACTTCAACATACATGGATTAAGATGAATACATACACACAAACAAGGCCTAACAAAGTTTCATCGTATCACCCCACACCTGATTTTCTAGTAGGACCATCAAGAATCAGTTCATGTTATGTTACATCATGAACATGAGTAAGCGACTACAGATTTGACACAAATGCAGCACATAACAAAGAGCCACAAGGTAGAAACAGAGAGCTGATGTAGCACTTGGTTTTAAGAACAAAATCAGATACACACCATATGTGAGCCCAAGAAGTGAAATCTCACATATAGCTATAAATAAGGGTAATATCAAAAGACAATGCTCAATATGTAACGTACTTAGTATAAAGGATATAACCTTAGACAACAAACAGTGAAAAGACAACTCCGATCTTTGGGTGAAGACTCCGGTTCCATAGGGACAACTGACTGGTTGATCGCAAGCCTAATTCCTCCAAACTCTAGCAATCTGGTACCCATCCAGGATTTTTATCCAAATAATTGAAAAATAAAGCAAGCGTAAGTACATGTCATACTCAATAAATATAACATGGGGTTCATGAGGCTCAAAAGGATGACATTGGTTTACTGCGGTCAGCTTTTAATGAGTCATGATTTTAGCAATTGAGTAGCAGCAAGTTTATCACAAGCCTATGTAAACACATGATCAGGTAAACATGAATAATGAATAGCATAAACAGTAATCATTAGTGATCATCTTTATCATCAGGACCATCAGTGTTCATCATCTATTCCGTAAGGGTCCAAGGCCGCTCGTGACCGTGAGCACGGCTGATATACCGGTTTTACACTCTGCAGAGGTTGTACACTTTCACTGTGAGTCGTGATTTACCCTTTCGCCCAAGATAGCTAATCTCTTGACCCACTTCCAAGGAAGGTCGGCATGGTTCACTATGAAGCCTTTCAAAGATTCGTCTAACAAGTTAGGGCCATTAGACAAACAGATGTAGGAACCCCCCTTCCCGATGACACAATGACATGTAGCCTATACACAAGGGGATAGAGGCTGTCCTATACCCGATTCGGTAAGCCATTCTTACGCCGTAAAGGTAACCACAAACAAGCTAGAAAAGGTCCTCATACTGAGCTAAAGCCAGAGCCATGTAGCCCTCACAGCTGTACTGTAAGTCCCGGATATTCTCTTATAGATAAGTCCTTAGGGAGAGGAATCTAGAGCACCATAAAAACAGTTCAATGCTCTAGCCCCTTTGATTCCATGTTGCTAAAAAGCATCTTTTAATGTTTATTGCATATTCCATTAGTCAACTTACAAGATCATGGCTTTAGTTGAGCACTAGCATCATACTACCCAATGCAATACCCCATAGGTATCAAGGTACAAGTACAAAAGACTAGAATATCCTTAGTGGTAGTCAAGGTAGACACATACAACATAAATTAAATGATTAAAGGTGTATAGGACAACAAGGATGATCCCATAATATACTTGCCTTAAACTCAAATCCTTCTTTTAGTCCAAACCTTCAAAGGATTGCTTTTGGATTCACTACGTATAGCTTACCGACTAGACATGATCATTAAGCACCATACAAGCATACAAACAAACATGCATAGCATTCAAACATAACTATATTAGAACAATACAATAATCAGTGAAGAAGAATTTGAAATCAAATCTACGCGTTGCTACGATCACACAGACACGAAAAGCACGCTAATCGGAACTACGGTGAACAAGATACAACTACCGATAGATTCGTTTTAAAGGAGAAAAGAAAAATTATAAGCCTTATTTATTTTATTTATAAATCTAGTTGCATAATCATTATTCAAGTTAGGATTTAAACCATGAAATTCCAAAACTATTGACATGGAAAACATTGATACTAATGCGTAGATTTTGTCGTTACAAATCTAACGTAACTTGAACAGGTCAAATCGGAGCTAAAACGGAGAAGATATGGCCTACTGAAGATAGTGGCAATTTTATAAATAGATGGAACTTAATATTTGAATTTAAAATAAATAAAATCAAATTTTGGATCTGTAGGAGGATGCGGATACTATTTTATCAAAAGGCAGGGGCTCTTTAGATAAACTACAGGGATGGTGGGTTCTATACTAGAAAAGGGCGGGGTTCTTTTGCAAAACTGCCGGCCGAAGTGGTACGGTGAGATCTAAGCCGTTAGATCTAAGATGGACGGCTCATATTAGAATCATGGAGAGAGAGGAGAGGCTGGTTTCCGGAAACGGAGCCAAGCACGGCGGTGGACATGGCCGGCGGCGAGGAGTTCATCGGTGAAGCTTGAAATCGGCTCTAGAGACCACGAGAGAGCAAACCGGAAACACGGGGAGAAAGAGGACGGCGAGGCGAACTCACCTCGGCCAATCTAGGGGTGTGTGGAGTGGACGGCGACGGCACGGTGTGTGGCGGAGCGGCGGCTAGGGTTCGGCCTGGCGGCTAGGAGCTCCGGACTAGGCGAGGCGGCGGCCAGTGACTTGATGGGAGGCAGCACGGTGCGGGGCTGCTATTTATGGCGGGGAAGCAACGTGGGGCGCAAGGCAAGGCGGACGAGGAGGGGCGGCGTCAGACTCCTACGCGGCGGCGGTGCAGAGTCCGGCATGGACGGGAGAGGAAGACGACGCGAGGAAGGAGATGATGGTGCTGACACACGGGCCCGAGGTGGCATTGGCACAGAGCACGGGGTCGAGCAGTCAGAGGGAGAGAGGAGAAAGGGGCGTGGCGGCGTGGCTACTGGGCTGGCCAAGAAGAAGAAAGGAGGAGAGGAAGCGGGCCGCGGGGAAGAGAGGTGGAGGCAGGCCGGCTGGCTGGGCTGCTTGCTGAGGGCGGAGCTGGGCCAATGCGAGGGAGCTAGGCAGGCCGAGCGTGATGGAGCAAAGGTGGGCCGCGGAAAAGAGTGAGGGAGTGGGCTAGGGTCGGCAGGGGTGAAGCTGGGCTTGCTGGGCCGAGAAGAGAGAGAGAGGAGGAAAAGAATTTCTTTTTTTATTTTCTTAAATACATTTTCAAATTCAAATTTAATTCAAACTCAAATCATTTCGAAATTTTGATCAAACCCAATCATCACAAATAAATATGCAACAACATATATGCACAAAAATGTTACTAAGCCTTATTATAAATTTTAATTTAAGGAAAAATATTATTTTCCTATATTTTCATGAGCACCAAAATTGCTTAATTAATTCAATTTTCATCTATTTCAAAAAGAGAAATTTTTAGGGTGTTACCGCAGATACTGGTAATGTTTATCACATTTCATTTAGTTCTAGTAATAATAATTAACAAACGACCCAAACAATACAATAGCCTCTGCTTAATATTGCAGAGCACTGAATTACCGAGTTCACCACGAGGGCAGCAGGACACAAACGAGAGCAAAGTAGCAGCAGAGCACAGCGCTCGCAAGCATTATACAGTACCAACAGAGCTTTATTACCAGCACAGTTATGGCGACCAGGAACACACAACAGCCAGTCCACAGACTCACTGGCGGACGAGGCAGCCTTCAGCGACAGGCAGAGGGGTAACCGGGACAGGAGCAAAGGTGGTGGTGCCCTCGCCCTCGCTGGCTTCCTCCTCTTCCTCATCAGACTGAACCAGGCCAGCAGCGCTGAAGATGTACGCCTTCACTTCCTCAAAGCGCTCCTCAGAGAGGGAGACCTCGGCGAGGAGCTTCCACGCGGAGGTTTCAGATGCCTCCTCATAGTCGCTCCTGCGCTTCAGCACGATGTGGCCACTGATCTCCCACACAGCTGGGTTCACCTGAGTGTCCAGCAGCTCCTGGCTCACTTCGCCCAGAGCCTGCTTCTCTGCATAGCACTGCATTATTGAACAGATAGAAGTTTGTTAGAACATGATAAAGAGATTTCCAGCAATTCGGTCCAGATTTGACAAAGCTACGAAATTGTGTAATGATTTTACCTGGGGGAACAGGAAGATCCTCTTGCCACAGTCAGAAACGAGCACGTTGTAAGGCACATTGTTGTCCTGCAGCCAAATGCAAGCATTGGAAACCACATTTGCCAGGTCCTCCAGTGTGTTCCCTCCCTCAAATACCAGGCCTCTCACAGGATAATTTATCAGCTTGGACACGGTCACTCCATTCTTCATTGTGTCCTCAGAAAGAGGAATCTTGTGGGTAGCTGCCTTCTCGACAGGGAAAGGGACTGACAAGTAGTATGCCTGTAAAGAAAACAAGAAATTATCATTCAGTACTAAACAACATTTTCAAAAAAAAAAGGAGTTACCACAATAGCACTATCTTCACAATACTGCTCCTATTTGGTTAGGATTTTGTGGTGAGAAGTAAATTTAGATACCATCAGAAGTTTAATACCTGAAAGTGGAGGTGATTGATGGTGGCAAAGGCACCCAAGCTATTGTAACCAAGCCTGAAGTACGGGCTAGCTGCCTCAGCTGCCATTTGCAGTGCAAGCAAGAAGCTCTCTGGATCAATCTTCTGAGGCAGGCGGTCCAGAACACGAGGAATGAGAAGCACATGTCCATATTCAATTGGGCTCACCTGCAAACCATCGCAAACAGTCATTGGAAACAAGAATAGGCGAGATAGAGTAAAAGTTGGATTGTCAGTGTGAATGAATGAGAGATGTACATTGATAGCAACAACATTTGGAGCACGATCAACAGCAATGATTGGAGCGTCATTCAGGAAATAGCTGTCATCACCATCGCCATTCTCAAATTGGAAGAGAACCTCTTCCTGGCCAACTTTGGTGAAATTGAACTTGGCAGGGTCAAATGGCTGGAGCACACGGTCCACACGAAACTCAGTAGGGCGCTTCTTAAGGTGGCGCCCTTCATTGAGTTGTGCAACAAACCCAAGGTTGCCAGGGATGACCTTGGTCTCACAAGCAGTGACATCATAGCGGAATAAGCCTCGGGCCATCCTGTCCTCCCACTGCCAGAATACAAAGCAAAATACTAAACTCAGAATCTGAATCCTGAAAAGATAAATATTAGAAGTAGACTTCACTATCCACCTATTTCAGCAAACTTTCACAATAAAGTATTTCCTACTTTAATAGAATGTGGTACAGAACAAAAAGTAAAACTGTCCATATATCATTCGAAACCAGAGTTCGACATTTAGATTCACAGTGCCAGTTCTAGTGCCATTGTAAGGTATATATTAATCAAAATAAGAATGGTCCCATATTTGAAGATATTAGACACTGTTCTTGCAGCAACTATCATCTTACAAGCCGTACAAGCGTGCGTTTGCTACTGCTCAAGTGGACTTAGGGCTCGTTTGGTTTGTGCCTGGCAGGTTTTCCACTCCTCAATACAAGAATGGTGCAAATATGTTTCCCCAACTTCTTAAGAGATATGCATATTTCTTACTAGACTAGATGTAGATAATTTGATTCCTAATATATCACATCCTAAAACTAGCACAGTTGAAGTCCAACAAAAGCCACAAGCTTTTATTTACCTCACTAAGGAGGATATCAACAAGCAACTTGGTTGAAGCAGCTTCCTCCTGCAAGTGCTTTGCCGGATCCAACTTGAACGCGTAGAGGGGAAGCTTGGAAGCTGCTCAAAGAAAGATGCAAATGTCAGTCAAATAAAAGTGCAGCATAATTTGCTACTTTCATGTCAGGTGAAGCAAATAATACTAGTTTTTTGTACATGCAGAGCTGATGTCTCAGTGAGGTTTCTACTGAGTTATAAAACAAACCATATTTTCAAGTGAGGCATACAATAGGCACATAATACTACAAAAGGCCAGTTATGATGGCCTGGGGTTCCGGCTGAGAATTATGATAAATATCTACAGTTGCCTAAGATGTTTGTTTATTTATATCCTTATTTAATCCAACCCAATTCGAGGCGGGGTAATAACAACAGCCAGTTGTTACCCAAAACCACTGGCGGTAACAATTTTTAACCGGAGGGATGGGTAAAAAAAGGGAAACCCTGTTGCGATTGTTTAGGTGCAAAGGCCCCCAACTTTCTGGAGCACAAACGACACCTTTTACTGTACAAAGTTTGGGAATTTTCTGAACGAATCATGCACGAATCTTCGGGGCACAATTTAAAATGGGAGATCGTAATAATTCTAAGATTTTCAATCGGATTGCGCGGACGAAAACGACGTCAGATTGACCGTAAAACAAAGCGAAAGCCTGCGAGCGGCGGGGTAGGTGGCTCACCAGGCAGGCAGCAGTCGCCGAGGCAGTTCCTCCCGCAGCCGGCGCGCGGCTTGTCGGCGTCGTCCTGGTAGTTGGAGACGACGGTGGGCACCCTCTTGATGGTGAGCTTCATCTCCATGCCGGTGGGTCGGTTACTCTCGCCGGTGGCTCGGTCACTCTCGGGGTGAGAACTCGTCGGGGTCGGGGGTTAGCTAAGGGACTATTCGCTAGGAAAGGAAGGGGGTGAGAGAAAGGACCGGCTGCGGCTCAGAGGCGACCGCCGCCGGCGAGGAAGAGGAGATCGGACGGGCTTCCTCCGGCCGAGGGCAGCGCCCCTCGGCCGCCGTGCGGGGCGGGGCTGGCCGCGACGGCGGAGGCGATGGTCCCCGTGGGCTCCACCTGCGCAGCTGGGGGGCCGCGCCGGGGGGCTGCAACGCTAGCCGTGATGCCTACAACTCGGCCACGCCCAGAGGGGAGGGGAGGGGGGCAGGCTGTTGCTGGATCGCAGCGGTGGGGTCGCGGAAGCTGCCGAGGCCTGCGCCCCGGGGTTCTCCTGTCTTCTGCTCCGGCGAGCGGCGGCGGTGCGGTGCGTTGGGGGTTGTGCGCTGCGCCGGGTTTGGTTTGGGAGGGGCGGAGGAGGCGGGGTGGCATTAAATAGGGGGGTGGGGAGGTGAGGGAGGCGATTGCGGTGGCGGATTTGTGGTGTGTGGTGGATCTGAACGGACGGACACGACCCGATTCTCTCTCTCCCTCTCTGCGCCAACGCGCCAGATGGCCAGGGCCACAGCGCCACGCTTTTTTTCGTTGTCTACTTGTCTTCGGTTATTACAAATATACTCGCTGTGTTCTGTTCTGTGCTCAGGCGCCGTTCGGTTATTACAAATATGCTCAGTTTTTCCTTGGTCCTCGCTGTGTTCTACCGATATAGTTGAAGTCGTTTCGACGAGCATAACAACTCTATATGTGAATTTCTTAAAACCATGCTCTTACAACTTGGACCTGCCCATGCAGGGGTCTACCAAAGCAAGTTGAGGCTGGGAGAAGCAACGGGCCCGTTCGGCAGCTAGTTCCATCCTACGGTGTTTCACTTTCACAAGGAATGCAGCGGGAGCCGTGTTAAAGTGTAGCCAAACGGCACTAACAATTTTCGGTTTTATCCCGAACCAACTCCTTATGAGCGCATGTTTTAAGGAGTTTTCCATGTGAAGATGTTTCAAAAATACACCTTTAGCATAAAGTAGTTTTAAACAGCTCATGAAGCTATTGGAGAAATTGTGTCAAACGAGATCTTAAATAGTGGTGGAGAAAAGGAGGCAAAGGCTAAGTGTACATTGAAAACTCATTATTCTTGGAGTTTTTCAGCTCCTAAACGGCCTAGTGAAGGATATATGACCTTTCTAGTGGAGTTGATTGTAAGAATGTGCTCCTAACGGTTAGGTTCCCTTTTTTGCAATTATAACCATCCCATTCATAGTGCCCAACAAGCCACCGAGCAAATATATAATGGACACTTTTCAAATCTTTCCTTCATCTCTAAGGAAAATTCCTACATATTTTGTCAATAGCCTTGATTGCCCGAGGTGGAAGGTCTATGGTCATAGCCAAATATACCAGCACAGACTTCGCATATATTGACCAATATCCTTCTGCTAGCCCTTTTTTACAAATCCGCTTTTCTAGCTTGAGAATTGATCAACAATCCTATACAATAATAGGCTAATGAAATTGGGTTTCTATCACTTGAAAGTCTCGTGACTGAAAATTTGCTATTTCGCTTATTTTTAACAAGTCGTGGATCAATCTAATTAATGGCTCAAACAAATAGAACTCGCACCTCAAAACCTCACTACTTTCATGTGTTTCGAGCATTATGTTATGGCACTTTATCTATCTAGTAACATATATAGCTTGCGAGGTTAGAGCTAATAATGATTGCTCTTACGAAATCTAGCCATGCATCAAATGGCTAAAGACCCCCCACGATTTTCACCTGATAAACATTTTTCTATATACTTTCGATGGGGTGGCTTTTCGAATGGCTGAGATAACTACAGGTTTCTAGTCGAATGATGACGACAAAATAACAAGCAGTAGCGCACAAACAGAAGCCGCAATATGGTACGGTTAATATGCGGCAATGGAGTAGATTGGGGTGTGGTTGAGAGATCAAACATCGGAGTAAGCAAAATGGTTGGTGGGTGATGAAAGGGTAGACATGCATCCAACTGCCAAGAAAGAACAACACGGTGGTTGAAAAGAATCTAACCAAAGCACAAGAGAAATGCCTACATCTCAAGGACCAAACTACTAACATTTTTATATCAATCTTTGAGTGAAGAAAATTTTTAGGAAATCTTGTACAAGGAGACCGCTCATGACATTTGGACTTATCTTGATGAGACATTGGACTTATCTTGATGGGATGTATGGACTTATCAATCTCTATTGATGATGTTGATGATGATGAGCACAAGGAGGAGGTTGCGGTTGATGGTGTTGAGCATATCTACAACACGGTGGTTTGTGGAGGATTGCTCCACCTCATGGTCAAGTGATGATGATGAAAGATCTACCACAAGTTCACTTGACAAGTTGGTTGACGATAATGGCTCAAGTGATGCAAGTGATTGTTCTATCTCAAGCGCTAAAACAATAAAATTGGAAAATGATTTGATGAATTTATATGAACAACAAAAGCATTATTATTATTGCCTGCTCATGGTTGATGATGATCATGATGTTGCTCTAAAATTTGCACATCACCACATAACATGCTTTGTTGTAAAACAAGGTGACACAAAGGTATCACTTGCTAATGTAGTTGATCATGTTGCATATGATGAGCTTGTTAGTAGACTTGTAAGATTAGAGATAATAATGATTGCTGCTATGCTAGGTGGAAGGTATATTTTTTTTTTTGATCCATAGCCAAGTATATACCAAGCATATGCTAGTGCTAGTGAGGTGGACCGCTGCTGCTGGTACTACGAAGTTGATCAACAACACACAAAAAGTCGATGTCTCGAGGAGTCCGCGTTTCGTTTCGTTCGTTGGATCAATATAACACGATCTCATCCATCGTACATTAATTATGTTATGACACTTTATCTATCTAGTACATACATAGCTCGTAAGATTAGAGATAATAATGATTGCTGCTATGCTAGGTTTTTTTTTTGATCGGGTTGCTATGCTAGTTGCTAGTGAGGTCGACCGCTGCTGCTGGTACTACGAAGCAGCACACACAAAAGTCGATGTCTCGAGGAGCCGCGTTTCGTTCGTTCGTTGGTTCACACGATCTCATCCATCGTACGGAGTACGTTGTCTCCGAGTCTATTCGCCGATCAGTTTCTGGGCTGATAAGTTCGGTGACGCTTTGGAAACAAAAAAAAACGAACACACACTGTATGTTGGGTACACATAATTGAACACGCTAACCTTGACGGCGATCCCTCTTATCCCACGGGGCCCGACACGACGGCCGGCCGGGTGGACGACGGAGCAGCAGCAGTGCTTGTGAACCACGTAAAAACGAGAGCTCGCCGCTGACCCAACGTGGTGAGATCGGCAGCCCCGTGCTTTCGTGTGGCTGCCAGTTGGGAGTTCATCTTCCATCTGTTTTGGGCCGCACAGGCATGGTGCACTGCCACGGGACCACGTCGCCGCCCACTTGCACCGCAGGGGCTTCAGCAGCTGCTGTCGTCCCCACTGATCGCTAGTGCTAGTACGACTAGTACGTACTTGGCTGCTTGCTGGTAAGAAATTTGTTGCTTCTCTTTGTCTTTCGTATGTACTGATAAAACTTTATTACTAGCTAGTGCTACGCCGAACTGCATGCATATGTATACGTGCATGAGATGTGGCCGTACATATCAACAAAAAATATATGGACGATAGATATACGCATCTTCGCGGATCACTGCGCGCGCGTGTGTGTTTTGAGGGCAACACGGATCACTGATTTGCTGCGATGGATTATATTGATGCATCGTTCCACTAGCCTATCTTCAAGTTCCTAAACTGAATTTTTTAAAGGTTATTTTATTTGTAATAAAAAATCTAAAAAAATGACTCAAACCTTGCCCAAATATAAATTACTTGAAACGGAGGTAGTATGGATTTATTTCATAGACTTGGATTTATTTCATAGACTTGTCTTTGGAGATACTTACTCACATCAATTCACGTGCGTTGGAGTTCACCCCAATCCAACTTAGGCCTTGTTTGGATGCGTATATATTCATCTTAATCCACATGTGTTGAAGTTGATTGGAATGAAATTAAACTAAGTTCTATTTCAATCCACTCAAACACACGTTGATACACATGTATTCAAACAAGGCTTTAATACATCTAGCTTGTTTGCCTACACTTGTATTCACTTCAATCCACGTGTATTGGAGTGGATTGAGGTGAAAAATAGTTAATTTAATTCTCATCATAATCCACCACAATATACATGTGAACTAATATAGACAGCAGTGCAGCCAAACAAAATCTAAGATAAATTTGGTACGACGGACTTTGCTTTCGCCTTGGGTCGTCCTTGTCGTTGTAACACATATGTGCACAGAAATTGTTTTGATTGAAATGTCATATCAGGTTCAAAAATAGTCGGTTGTAGTTAAATCAATCTGTTATTCTGGAAATGGTTCTTAATAGTCAATTCCGTAGTAAGGACTTTCATTCTGTATAAATTCGTATTAGTACGTATACACTACTACAGACATAGTTTTCGCCACCGCCACTTCACTGTTGGTTTTATAAATACCGTACGTGATAATTTGCACTGAATGGTTCATAATACGAATCATTTTCACTGTCTGTTACTATTATGAACCAGTGGTGACAATCAGTGACACCATGTCCCCGCGTGTGCTTCATCAAGATGGCTGATAGGCGAGCTCACTCGATCGCCTGTGTCACCGCGACTGGCGTCCTAGCAGGGGCTCGGATCGACGGACTCACCAGTCTCCCGTGTGCTTCTTTTCTCCCACCAGCCACAAATTAAACTCTCTCTCCCTCGTTCCACTTTTCTGTTTCCTCTATCTTCCTCTTTCTCTCTCTCGTGGGCAGCAGGGGCAATACAAGGCGTGGCCGCTCCGGTGCGAGCAGCGGTGGGCTAAGGGCTCATCGTCA